GGTCAAGCTGTGGAAGGGGCGGCGAAAAGTGTCTTTGGCCCGACCAGCAACCTAGTCCTCCTTGCGAAGCATCCGACAATCCTGCAGTCGCTTGGCAAGAGTATGATATTTCGAGGCCTTCTGCAAGCTGATTACAGGTAAGATAACGTGTCTCGGTGTTTGTGGGTAGAAGGGTCTAATATCCTGAGTGCAGCCTGAGTGCAGAATATTCATTACGAGCTCAAACATGAAGCGACGGTCATTCTGGCTTCACCCATGGTCGCATCTGCAGCAGCGCAAGCCATATCAAGCTTCATTATCATCAGCCTGATGCTGGACTACTATAATTGACTGCCTCAACCTTCTACACGCCACTCCCCACAATATTAGCAAATGCTGCCTGTTCGTTCGCTGTACATCCTTGTTGAAAACAACATCCTTCCACCTACTGGCAAAGAGGAGTAGTAGTCCCTGAGACAGAATACACGCACGAGCCTTGGCTCAAGGAAGGTTCATTGACAAAGTGCTCATCATCGAACGTGACTAGAATGGACATGTACTATATTTCCTCACGTCCAGACTCTCTGTTGAAGTTGCAGCTTGCTCCGATCACAAACGGCCATCTGCATCTGTTCTCACGACTATAGACTGTACCCACCGAAGTTAGCAACCTTCGGCTACCCAGCAATTGTATCTCATCTCGAGACTTATGCTGGTTTTGATTGGACTTGTCACTTTCTGCGCAAGATCCGACCACGCTGTCAACAAGAGCATACGACACAACACTTTGGCTCCTGGATGTATTTTGTCGCTATGCCCGTGGACCACTGGTCATCACAAGCTCAGACCCATTGAAAGACACTTACAAAAGACACGGAATATTCGGCATGAGTCCTCTTGGGGTTTTGTGGCACATCCTAAATAGAGCTGGGCCCAATGGTACGCTGCAACGAAGACACCACCCAGCTTTATCCCGCGGTCGCTATTCAAGACCACCTGAATGCTCATTGAACCGGTAGCACACTCAGCGAGCTAGGATACTTATTCGTTGACCTTTGATGTGCTAGCGATATGTGGCGGTACGGAGATCTCGGAACGCATCCTCGGTTCGAGGTCCGGCTTTGATCGGTGATGGGCGCTGACCGCATATGTCACTAATCCAATCGCATGGCTGCCAACATGGAACAAGTCAATAGTCTGGCTGGATGCAGGAGAGCGGGTCAGAAAGTAATCTTATTTGGCATAACCCGGTGCGATTGGGTACTATCCAAGGATTTGCAATGAGCCCTGGTCCTGTCTATGGATGACATCTCTTGAACGGTGAATGTCTCCGGTCTCTTTAAACATTGCCATTCGGCAAGGGAGCTGTGAAAGGGGCCATTGTCCTCAAATCTCATAGCTCTATGAATGCGACCTCGGATGATCCCATCCGAGACTTCATTCCCATAAAACCCTTCTGCTCTGGATGCTTTATCGGCCTTGCCATCGACCATGATTTTTGAACCGCCATCGAGGGCCCCTGTGCCCCCTACTGATGTCCTCTCTTACACTTTCTTGGACTCTAGTTATGACAGAACTGTCCCAGTAAGGGCACCACCTATCATTCTGCTCTTCGTCCGGATCTAATCTTGGCAGATCTATGTGGATGTCCATGAACCCGCTCGATCCATTTGCTACGACCAGGCCCGTCGCATCGTCCGTCAATTAATTGCTGGCCTTCATGCCTGGGGCGTGCGGAAGGGAGACTGCGTCAACATCCATTCTTTCAATGATGTACAGAAACCATTGCTTGCGCACTGCACACCACTTTAGCATGGCTGAGATTCCACTAGATTTACTACCCTATGCTCGTCCTCGCCATTGTCGGCATCGGAGGCATCTTCACAGGCTCAAACCCTGCTTATACACCTTTGGAGCTCAAGCACCATTTACACACCGCGCAGGTTCGCTTTATTATCACCGAGCCTAAGCTCTTCAGTCCTATCCGAACAGCTGCGCGTGATTTGAAAATTTCCTTATCAAACGTGCGCATCTTCAACGCCAGGAGAGAAACAATTCCCGAGGGAACCGTATCCTGGACCGATCTGTTTGAGCATGGCGAAAAGGACTGGGAGCGTATCCACGATGGGTCCATGGCGGCTCAGACTACAGCTGTTCGGCTATTCAGCAGCGGAACAACAGGTCTGCCCAAGGCCACTGAAATCACTCACACCAATCTGATTGCGCAACATGAGCTCGTGTTCGAGTTGCATCATCGACCATATTGGGTAATTGGCCTTCTTGTACTACACCAAACTCGATTTCAAAGTAACATAAGCATATTTGAAATAGGTTTCCCGCGTTGTGCCCACCCCTCTCTTCCACGCTGCTGCCGTACCTTCCACCCATTTTGGCAGCCTCAAGGCCGGTCACACCAACTACATCATGAGGCGATTCGATCTCTTGCTCTTCCTGGAAACTGTGGAGAAGTACCATGTGACCGACTTGGCGGTTGTTCCGCCCGTTGTCATCGCCATCGTCATGAGTCCTTTGTCCTACAAGCGGAGGTACTTGAGGTCGATCCGAACGAGTTCGATCGGTGCTGCGCCCATTGACCAAGGAACACAGAGGCGGCTCCAGGCGTTGCTGGGTGAGGGGGCACCTTGCACGCAAGTCTGGGGAATGACGGAGACAAGTTGTATCGCAACCACGCTTCCGTACCCAGAGCAGGATTACACGGGCTCTGTGGGTCGCCTGATTCCGAACCTAGAAGCTAAGTAGGCATTTCCTGACCTTCTCGGCTCGCCTCTTTCATCTATGGGATGCCATGGCTTACTTGTGCAATAAACAGGCTGATAGACCACGCGGGAAACAACATCTCTGCATACAACGTTCGCGGTGAGATATGTGTCCGGGGCCCAACTGTAACACCGGGATACTTCAACAACTCCGCCGCGAACAAAGAATCCTTCGATGAAGATGGATGGTTCCACACTGGTGACATCGGATATTGTGAAGTGGGAACAGAGAAATGGTACATCGTGGATCGAGAGAAAGAGTTGATCAAGGTCCGTGGGTTCCAGGTAGCTCCACTGGAGCTAGAGGCTGTGCTGATATCACATCCGCTCATTGTTGATGTGGCTGTCATTGGTATCAAGCATCTGGTCCCAGGGACAGAGTTGCCCCAAGCGTATGTAGTGCGACGACCAGGGGATGGAGATCGGCTCACAGAGGAGATCGTGAAGAGTTATCTGGTACAGAGACTAGCGAGCTACAAGGCTTTGACGGGAGGAGTCAGATTTGTGGACGCGATACCCAAGAATGCGAGTGGAAAGATCTTGAAGAGGCTGTTGAGGGAACAGAGCCAGAAGGAGGTCGAGGACGGTTGGAGACCGAGGTTGTAAGGGTGTGTGCTACAAGGATAGTACTTGATTTGCATGAAATACAGTCATAAAATCCACTAGACATTCACTCCAATCACCAAGTTCGAAAGAACAATTAAACCCCTCTGTATCCTCCATCCGATAGGATACAGTGAGCATTCCATTAGAAGCTCCGAGATTCGCAAGTGAAAAAAGTAACAGCTTTAGGCGGTGGGGCTTTCTGCCACTATTTTGTCTGCCGCCTAATACCCATAGCATCCCGCCCGGAGCAATCCACACTTTCTGCCGTGCCTCTTCGCTACTGTGTGCCGGTCCCTGCAGTCACCTCGATTGTTAAACTCCAAGAATACCTCTTTGATGTCTTTCTGGTGCTATCGATATGACATCTTTCAGGTGATACTTCTCAGGTGCAAATATCGTCAGGACAACATGATTTCAAAGCAAATCAAATGATATCATCAATCTGCATCGGGTCAGTCCGAAAGTGCCGAAATCGGCACTTTCGGAGAGCTCCAGATGCTATATCATGACCTCGTCTGCCTCAGCACTGATCAACAAAAACAACATATCGTCGCCATGATGAGTCTATGCAAACAGCAGACCGCGCGACTGAGTCACAATCTAGCTCGTGGCCATCCCACGGTCGCAGTACTCTATCAAGCCCTCGAGCCACCTGTTATCAACGGTGCCCGCAAGCCTCGGAAGCCTGGTGGTAGAGTAACCCTTCCGCTCACTTGTCAAAAACTGAAACTGACACTTTGTTGCAGGCTACCAAGACTCAGGCGCAGACATTGCTCACACGCTTCGTAAGCATGGTGTTCGCGTCCTCACCCCCACAGCATCTCCGAACCCTTCAATACAGGAAGGCTGGTGCTTCCCCGACACCGAAGAGGGCATCTTCGCCGCCGTTCAACAAGGTGCTACACACCTCTGGGCCAATACGGTCTTGTTCTCCTCGCATCCACTGCAGTTGTCGAGATCACTGACTTCCAACGACCCTCTTTATGTCGTCGGACAACCCCCGACGCTGGTGGAGGACTTTGACGACAAAGCCTATCTGAACGAGCAGCTCCGCAAGCACGGCTCCTTCACTCTCCCGCAGTCCTGGCTTATCCGCGCCACGGACAACATATCCTCCATTCTGGACTCGGTCCCCCGCTATCCCGTCATCGGTAAACCCGTTCGTGGCCGCGGTAGCTACGGCGTGAAGCTTTGTCGCGATCGTGCAGAGCTTGATGCCCATGTCAACACATTGGTGCGAGAGTCCCCCGTGGTTCTGATCGAGGAATTTCTCACCGGCGAGGAGGCGACTATTACGGTCATGCCGCCGTCCGCGGGCCATGATTCGCACTGGAGTCTCCCGCCGGTCACGCGATTCAATCATGTCGACGGGGTGGCGCCTTACAGTGGCGCGGTGGCTGTTACTGTCAATTCGCGCACAGTGTCTGCAGACGAGATGAAGGACGTATCTTATGGTTCTGTGATGCGGCAATGCGAGCAGATTGCGGAATTGATCGGGGCCACCGCACCCCTACGTATCGATATCAGAAGGTTTCGTGAGGGATCCGAATTCGCAATTTTCGATATCAACATGAAGCCTGTATGTCTTTTTTGTCTATTTTCCAAGGATTAAACGGCTAATCTGTGCGATCTAGAATATGACTGGCCCTGGCCGTCCTGGCCGTGAAGATCAAGCCAGTCTCTGTGCCCTCGCTGCCGCTGCTATCGGATGGGATTACGGAACCCTCCTGCAGCATATTCTCGAGGGCGCAGTATCACTGGAACAGTTCCGGAACTATAAGAACCCATTCTCGCGGTCCTAATATTGTGCAAGTGTTGCCACCCAGGTACGGGGTACCTCCGTCGCCTTGCCTCATTCCTCAACCTTTACTTCGTTTACCTTTTGCGACTCTTTTTCTCCTTCCGTTTCTTTCTCTTTCTTGACAGCAACCATCCGATTGCTCAACTCATCCCATCGATAAACTGCCCCGTCGCCCACATTATACCTATAATAATTATTTGTACCACCCGGTACTACCGCCTTCCGGAACGTGATGTTGATTCTCCCCTGGCTCCCCTGCGCCCCTTTTCGCTTTGGAATACTATGCAACCAGTTGGCCTGTGTCTCACCTCTCATGACGATCATGTCCCCGGAGTTGAGTGGGAATTTGAGCGGCTTCCCTGCGTCAACATCGCTCCCGGCCACGGGTTTATGCTTGAGCATGAAGTCCCGCTGCCCACCGAGCGAGATGGACGCGATCGTGGGGTTCGGCCCCAAGAACCGCTCATCGTCCGAGTGGTATGAGATGCTGTCATCGCCCGTGGCGTAGTAGTTCACCAGGCAGAAGTTGTAATGTGTTCCGTCGGCGGTCGCGGCCTCGACGGCCTGGCGGAGGACATCGAGACACGGCGGGATGGGGCGCGGGGGATGGTTGTACTTGGTTTTGTCTTTGAGAGTGATTGGCGGGGCGCGGGTGCGGGACTCTACGAGGGTGGGTGTGGAAGTCTGGGTTTGAGTCGACTCGGACGAGGCGTTGTCGTCGCCAATAGGTCTCGGATTGGTCGTCGCGATATCCTGCGAACCCGGGATGAAAATGCTTGTCTCGTCCACGCCGAAGACGGTCGTGTAACGCGGCGTGTTAATGAGTGTCTCCGTTGGGCCGCGGCGGATGGTGTACTGCACGCGATAGAAGGGGAGCTCATTCCGGAGGAACTTGAACAGATCGCGCGCGATCGGCGACGGGATGAACGGCTGAAAATACAGTAGGTTCAGGTGTGGCTGGTTGTTGATGGCTTGCGGGGGCCGGACGCGCTCAAGATTGGCGATCGGCTTGAAGATATGCGAGGGGAGGTTGCGAATGGGCATGGGGTAGTCTGGGTGGTGCGTGCTCGCGACGGGCGCTGGAGATGGCGAGGATGATGTAGTAGCTTCCGGATCGGGTTTGGGCTTCTTCGACGGGATGGGTTGGAAGAAGGAATTGATTCGTTTAGACATTGTAAAACTCGCAATGGGAACTCAGCTTCGTCAATTGAGTTGCCTTCGACTATAGCTTTACAGAAAGGGGAAGATCTAGAAGATTGAGCTCGAAGCTCGAGGCGCGAAGGCGCGAAGAAAGAATCGCGCAGGTGAGTGATGTCATTGTTTCCAGCTATTGTGGATCGGATCGATCCGAATCGTCTCTAGTAGGGAACTGCGCGGGTCTAGACTCTACACTCTTTTTCTGCGTTGAAGTATATGGTATGTTCTCTTCTGTCCCGTGCTCTTTCAACATCACGTTCATTCTCATAGCATGTTGAAGCGATTAATTCTACCGAGTACTCCGTAGCAGATTGGTTTGACGATCCTGCGTGATGCGGGAGAGGATCTGCGAACAGTTCACCCTTGCAGCTTGAGGAGGTCAAGTGGCAGAAGATCGCATATTACTTGTAATGATACTACTCGGTAGGAAGGCGTTGAGTCCTCTTGCGTTATACTCATGTAGGCAGTTCCCGGCTAGAGGTGTATGCGCAGAAATGCGTCTGCGTTAGCACTAGAGTGCTGAACATCGTACCCGCCAGCATGCTACGATAGTATATACAATAGTCATACTGCATGAGCTCATATCGAAAATATCGAGTAATATCTGAGTGGGGTACTCAGTCCGTCTGCATGTAGGGAGTGATTTTTATTGCCTCCATTCATGATGCACGGGGGCGTAAAAGGTGATCTTCAGCCCGTGTACATTTTGATTCAGCATCCATGATGACCAACCACAGTTAGCAAATCGCATACTTTCTCATTCATCTCCCTGGTGAGGATCCTGAGACGCCTTTCGCTTAGTCCCCGCCCTGCCGAACATAGCGTCGAGCTTCGTTTGCCCCTTCTCATGCTTCTCAACCTTGACTTTCTCCAACGCCAGCACCGGAGGCAGTCCCTGGATGCGATGCTTCGCATCCTCCAGCAGCTCGACCTCTCTCTCCCGCTGTTTCTTCACGGTCGGAACAGACCACGAGTTCGATGTCGCCGACTTATACGCGAGCTTATACTTCGAGCCGGTCAGATGGGTCTCGTAGGTGTTCGCATCGACTTTCTTGACGTGCTGCCCGGGGTAAGCAATGCCACGACTGATCTTCTACACGCCCCAAACAGAAGGAGTCCTCTCACATACCTGATGTCCGACAATCAACCAGTGATACTCCGTCCCCACCGGTGCACCGCTTCCCTCCGGGGCTCTTTTTGCACGTCGCTTGTTCGTCTGGTAATCGATGCGCCAGAGGTCCGGCTCCTCTTTCGTCTCCTTCCACGTTCCCTCGTCGTACTTCCAGGTATGCGAGCCCCCAACGGCCATCCCGGAGTACACTTGACCGTTGAACGACTTGAGCGCGTTGTAGCCTGCTCCGCTTCCGCCTGCGTACCCCGCCGCATGCATGGCCGGCTGTTTGTTAGCGCTCCCTGTCTCTTCCGGCATCTCGTCTTCGTCCGCAATGTCCGACGTCACTGAGTCATGGTCTTCAGTCTGACGTTCTTTGGCTCCTCCGCGGCCTGACACAGGGTCTTCCACGTCATGGGCGTCATCTGCGACTGCAGCATCCTGTTCGGATCGAGGCGGAGAAGGCAGCTTCTGTGACGACCGGGTATTTCTTTTGACGCGCTTGTTCGGCATGTCGCTTACTGGTGGAACATCTTAAAAGAATGATGGATGTCCGATAGCTACTAGGTAGGCTAGGTACTGTACCTAATAGTGATTGTGAGGGAGGAAATGGCGAGGTAAGGAAAGTAGGAGCCATGACGTCACAGGTGGCACATGCCGCGAGAGGAGAACTTTGACGGGTTGAAAGGCTATTGTTGACCTCAATCCAATCTATCCTTTTCCTTTTTCCTCGATGGCAACAAGCTTCCTTTTTCATTCAACATTCCACCTACCTCCTTAATGACTCGACGTCAATCCGTTGCTAAGAATAGCCCCCGTGATCTGTCCAAGAGCTTGCGAAGCTCTTACGTTGCGCGATGAGTCGTTTCGAGGCAGTACACCTGCAATCTGCTGATCTGAAAGTCGCCCCCGCGCTGGGCATTGGTTGGACATTGGTTGACTGTGAAGGGAATAATGGAGTTGGGACACGTCTACCACTCTGCGGTGTGTGTGGATTATCTATGATCGCCAGCCCCAGTCAAGCCACAGTTCATCCATGAAGATTGCAGCCACAGATTGACAACGTCATGTCCTATTCTGATGTGAGTGAGTCAGTCAGTCAGTCAGCGGGTGAGGATAAGTTGTTGCCTCGAGAACTGTACTTGCGTTTATGGCCATTCGGGACGGGCGGGAAGAACCGGTGGGTGGAGTCCGTCCTCACAATCCCATGATTAACCTGCACTTTTTCTTCTCTACACCTGACAGTCGGTCACCCGATGACGATCATTCTTCTTTTCCTTCTCTCTTTCTTCCTTCCTCGCCGTGCTGCTTGAACCTTTGCACAATCCGAAGGAGGGGCACTCACTGTGGCCCAAGGCAACGGACCAACCCCCTTCCATCCCACGCATCCATCAGCATCATCGGCTTCAATCAGCACCAATATCTCCCTCTTACACACCTCCCTTTCAGGATGACGGACGAACCGCTTTTCCTCTCACAGAACGTTCCCCGCTTATACTCACGTATCCTCATCAATCACAGGGTCCGCCAACCCATCAGATTATTATGCTTGCGCGGCGGAAGTGGATGTCGCTGCCCTTGCTCTGGCTGATGCGCCACCATACCAGTCCCAACAGTTGATCCCCATCCATGATCACCCACCCCCGCTTGTCCCGGTACAATGGCCTATTGGGGAGGCGGGAAAAGCGCGGAATAATCGACATACCATCCAAGGGTTGATGGGTCCTACCGTAGAGGACTCCTGTTCATATAAATGTACTCATTCTTTTCCCCGAACGTCAGCGGCGCCTCGCGCCCTTTATCCGCCAGACATAGATATCTTTCTGACCGATCCCCCTCCCCCTCCGGTGCAAAAACCATACTGCCTTCGACATCCCTGTCTGGCGCATAACTGAAACTGTAACCAACGAATCGGCATTCTCGACTACTGCAACATCTGTGCCTTTCTCATCTCCCGTCTCGTTGCTTTTTCTCTAGGGTTTCTCTTTATCCTCAGACATCCTTTACCCCTCGATTCTTTTTAAGGGTCCTCCCTCCTCTCCACCTGGAGAGGCTACACGGAAACCATCTCCGTTCAGACCTTCTTTCCAGCCCTCCTACTTTTTTTTCTCACACTCATTTTCTTACTCGACCGTGAGGATCTGGATTTTTGGTCAATATCTGCATGCACGTACCTCTATGATCGACCGCTTTCCCCATATTCGAATAAAGTTCTCTCCGCGTCCCTCGTGACCACGCACACGACCTCCGCCCCCAGCCGACTAAGAGCGAAGTAAAAGAAGTCAAAAAGCAAGCTTTCCCAATTCTCGAAACACGACCGAGGCAATTCTTTTTTCTCTGGATCATCTTTCAAAGACAAAACTCCCAAACACACTCTTCTACCCATCCACACTACAATTAAACACATACACACACAATATGCGCGACATGCCATCCCGATTCATCGAGATCCTTGACCCCAGCGATGGCCACCCTCGCATTTCCGACTCCGACGTGCGACTTGAAGATGTCCTTGCCGACCACGAAGCCTTCGTCACCCGACCGCGATCATCTACGCAGTCTTCTTCAAAAGCCAGTATAGACAAGGATCGCATGGAGCGGGACAATATGTCCTCGCCAGGGCAGCGGTGGAAACGCCTCAGCAACATCCTTGTCCCTAATCGACGCGCTTCCACCTGAGGGACACACCGTCCACACGACAATTCGATTTACGGGCGTTCCAATCATCTGCGACAATGACTTCAGCGACGAGTCGTCCCGGAGACCCTCACTTACACGTATAACAACCCCACTTTACCCTCCTTACGATCTCCATCGTGCTACAACACATCAATATGCTTATGTACATGGCAACACCAACAACCACGCGACGAACCACTACACGAGACAAGACGAAACGAACTCTTTTTTTCTATTTTACTTCTCGAGTTCATGCTTAGGAGTTTGGAATCTAGACATGGAGTAGATGTCACTACAATTTTCTTTTACTTCAGGGATGGGACTTCTGGTTTTGGGTTTCACTTTAGCGCAGGAGTAGGCAAACACAATTGGGTGTTTCTTTTGGGTTATATCTTCTTTTTTTTTTTTTTTTTTTTTGCCAAAGAGATGATGGATGAAGCATGGCTAAAACAATTACAAAACTTGGATTTGAATTTTGAAGACTCCCAGCTCATGAACAATCATATCCTGTTCCTTGCCTCTGGTTCCTTGGTTCGGTGGTTTGCATTGTCCATGTGACGACCACCACTAAGTTCAGCTCCTTTTCATTTGCTTTCATCTATAAGACCCGACTCATCATCACTATGACCATCAGCAAGAGATGCCTGATGCCCAAGCTCCTTCGCCCCAACCCCCGAAATCCAATTCCCCACCCACCCATCCTTTGCCCCAACCCCCGATGCGCCGGGATCCCATGCGGTGAGGCCAGTAAGTCAGTCGACTAGTGAACAATATGGCCCAAAACAGATCTTCTACGTATTCCACAAACAGAATAGGTTCAGTAATGGGTTTTGCTCAACTGGTCCCTGCGTGACTGACTGCAGTCTAGACTACGTACTGTCTCCGGGGAGTGGATACCACTGACATCATTTTTTGCCGAGTTGTTCGAGTTGTTGCCCCGGGCTCGTTAGTGCCTACTTATAGTGTAGGCTACCGTTAGTCGTCGCTCGCTTCCGAGATGGGGTTCGGGTTTCGGGTTCGGGGCAACCGTGCCAATCCTGGAGCTGATTGAGGCGGTTGCGACGATATAATGGGCCATGGATGATAGGGTTGTCGTTGGTTGGGGAAGGTGGTCGGTCGGTCGGTTGAGACATGCATTGTTTTTTTTTTTTTGCTAGAACGGGAGTGAGCGCAGTGAGTGTGACTGGGTGTAAATGAAAATGATCTTCGGTCGCGTCGCGGAGCCATTCGATTCTACGCAGTACTACATGTGAGTAAATCTGAATAACGTGGTCGCAGATCCATGCGAGGTATAGTGTGTTAGGTCTGTCGGAACAATGGCTTTGTTTTTCGGGGGTTTTGGGGGTTGGAGGGGAGGCTCTAGACCTTCCACTAGCCAACTAACTAAATACTGAGCGTGGTTAGAGGCTGGTGAACAATGGCGCCGAACTCAATTGTCCGGGTGTCTTGGGGCGGGGGCCCGGGCCCGGCGGCGCTAAACACTACCGTGGATTTACTCGCGGATCGGCGCCTGCTTTTTTGGAACAAACTCCGCATTTCACCCTCGCTTATTTCTCTCAATGGTTCGTGGTTTTGCTGGTTCGGGGAATAATTCTGGGTGATCGGATGATCGGATGATCGGGGAGGATGGAAGAAAAATAGAAGGCGGCTTGGTTTGCTTGGTTTGCTTGGTTTCTGTATTGGTTGTTCGACTCGGTAGTACTCGGTAGGTATTCAGGGCGCGGGTTTAGGTTGACCACACGTGGGGAATTGTCGTCTTCTACTGTGTCTTCGTCGATTCCCACCCGACGATCGCATTGCTTTTAGGGTCGCTCTGATTTGTCTGCTATCTTCTGGCCGGGGATTCTGAACTATGGTTGGATGATCTTCATCCTACATGCACATCTACATATGGCACAACCGTTGCCTCTCCGATAAGCCCGTTGTCCACTGTTCCGGGCAAGCCTTCATAGGCTCTGAAGACATCCGTCGGGTGAACGCCGCCTGTCCAGAGCTCAGCAAAAATGGAGCGGAGATAGTTCCACATCACGGACGGAACCTCTACGGTGATCTCGTTGGTGCCGGCATGAAGGTACGGACTGATGTTGATCTTCGGGGCCTGGTAGTCGAAGGGCGGAACGCGGTGTCCGTTCGCCCCGTTGGTGGCTTTGGGTAGAAGGAGGTATGCGCCTGAGGCAGACGCTGAAGGCGACCAGACCAGGCCGTGGGTGTAGTAGCCTATTCCAGAGGCGTTGGCGATGGCGGGAATGTCGCGCCAGGAGACGAGAGAAGTGAGCCTGTGCGTGGTATTGTGTTTGAGCGCAATGGTGGAAGCATCGCTGATATTGAGAGGGTGGTCCCAATGCTCGACGGTGAGAGTCCAGTCAGAAAGTGATACTTGGGGCGATGGTGCGGTTAGTGAGCTGAGTAATGGTTTTGCCGTTAGAGAGTGGCAGTGATGTCTTTGTCAGACTGCTGGATGAGACGTGCAGATGAAGGCTCCCTGCTTGAGTGTACTCATGCCCGGTGATTGAGGCGGGAATATCGGTGGTACAGAGTGACGTCGCAGACGTCGTGGTATCCCTGAAGACCAGTATGGCGGTCTGGTTTGCAGCAAAAGAGAAAGGGATCACTGTGCGTCCAAATTCCTGCTGATATGCCAGAACCGGCCTCTCTTCGCCAGTCCAGGGATCTAGTGAGTAATGCTGTTTCGTGGTTGCGACACTTACCGTGCCAGCAGACTTGACCAGGTCCGAGAGGATGAAAAGATACTCTGTGCCGTCGTTGTCGGATCTCCAGGTCGAATACCAGGTCCCATCTGCCTGCACTTTGACCCTGGGCGAGATGCCCAAAGCTGAAAGCTTGCTAGCTGCTTGACCAGCAGCGACTGGATAGACATTCTGGGTAGTCTGCAAAGAGGCCAGCTCTGCCCGAGCGGTAGTCTCAGTCCCATCTTCTGTGAAGTAGATGTTGGGCAGTCCACCTGATAAGATCACCGGAAGGCCTGCACGGGCATAATCCTTGATATAGCTGATCGCACCAAGAGTGAGGTTACTCGACCCTGGGACAACCATGGCGCGAAACTCGGGGCCATCCGGTGTCAGTGATCCATTCTTGACATAAGCCTGAGGCAAGGCGAAGTTCTCGGGTGACAAGTAGACATAGGTGTACCCTCTTTCCGTTAGAACGCAAAGCCCGCGAAAGTGGGAGAGAAAACACGTACCATTTCCGATCAGATCAGTCTGGTTATAGGCAGTGCCCAAATACGGATCAGATGCGGAGTCCTTGCTGTAAACGACCAAGTCAACTTTGGGGATACCCTTGCGCTGAGAATATTGTAACCTCGCAATGTGGTTCAAGGCTTCCGAGAATCCGTGGTTCCAGTATGGCTGCTTCTCGGAGTATGAGTCCGAAAACAGATAGTAAAACGCTGTATAGCCTGGCCATGACGTATTGTAGTAGTTTCCAGAGTAGGATTGCCCATGCAACACGACCTGATTGACGCCACCTGCAGCCGCTCGATTGACCTGCCACAGAAGCTCTGTGATCGTATGGCTATATGCTTCGGTTACGACAGCGCCCAGCTCGTTGGAGATGACTTTCTTTCCTGCTAAGATCGCAGGACCAGAGAATGTCGATAACTGTCAACATTGTTTTGGTGCTGCAAGCTCTCGCACTCTGGTGCATTGACATCCGGGACACTAGCCAAGACATCGATAGGTAGGTTGTAGGCAACCTGAGATGAATATTGTAGGTTCATCGCGTTGGTCCAGTTTGTGTAATGCTCCACGTAGGCTCGGTATCCCTCCATCAGAGCACTACGGAAGTCATTCACATATCCCTTTCCTTGGTCCGGAGTGTCTAGCAGGCACTCTACCGAGCCTGGTGCAGCATTCTGAATGCCAATGTTGTTATTGCCAAACATGAACAGTGGTAGGAAACGCTTCAAGTCATAGCCATACTTGTCGTAAAAGACTTTCGGCAGTGATGGCGTCCAGGATATGTTCGAAGTCGCCTCAATACTGTCCTCCCAGCCTATCGACTTATCAGCTATGTTCGTTCCTCGGTGTGGCAGAAATGCTTACCATAGTTACCAACCTCTGACAGAAGCTCCTTGACCTCAGCGTCCTCGAGCAAGTAGTCATCCCAGAATTTGGTGACTACCTGTGCTCCCTTCGCACTGAAGTGGTCCACAATGTAGGAACCATTGTCAAAGATTGTCCCGGTCTTGTTTGAGTTGACTGGGAGATTTTGGGTGTGTGTCAGGTACTGGTAGAATGCAAAAAGCAGATAGGTTTCGCCGTGAGACGAAGGGAGCTTCAGATGAACGGTGCCTTCCAATGATATATTGTCTGTCCAGGCCTGTAGTGTTGCATTCTTGAGCACGTATTGCATATGATCCTCCACTGCCACAGTGTAGAGAGTCGGAACGGTCTGGCTCGTGATGTTCCGAGCAGAAAGGACCTGAGCCGTAACAAGTGCCACCCAAATCTCCTGTATCCCAGCCTGGAAGCCTGCCGTCATAAGTTCCGTTCGGGGGGATAGCAACTGCGTAGGGGGCCTTGTGGCATCCAAGCCCCAGCATGTCAGTATATACCCATGTCCCTAGATGCACTTTCCGTCACTTACCAAATCCCACTGAAGCCCTTCATCATCACACCGTGCAGGCACTCCCTGACCCTGGTTAGGACCAAGGGGAAAATCCATGGTAAGGCCGGCCTCTTTGTGGGCCTGGAGAGCAGCTTTGAACATTTTGAGGTACGCTGGGGTGCCGAAGCCGTAAGTCACCCAATCCGCTCCTGGTACCTCGGAGCCATAAGCGTAGAATGGGAGGAACTCAACACCACCAGCACCTAGCGCGCCAGCATCTTTATGTTCTGTTGAACGACTCCGGGGTCAACACTGGCATCCGGCAGCCAGTAGCGGAAACGAGGACGCGCGCGAGGTGCTGGATCCTGAAATGAGCCGAGGTCGTCATAAGGTCCAGTCGTCTTGTGAGCAAGTGCAATGCTCTGTCGCGAGAGCAGCGCGGTAATCAGAAGCGAGGTCAAGCGCATTTCGATCAATGTCAAGCTGTGATTGCACACTGTGCTGGTTCTGATTAGCTTTCATGATGAATAATTCTCGACTTTATACCTCAGTTCCGTCAAACCTTTCTATCAGGTTCAGAGCTCGGTTGACCCTATCCCGAGATGCTCATTGTAACCCTGCATGTTCGGACAAGCCGGGCTGAAACATGTCATGTATGAATACTTGTAAAAGAAAGAGATAGGCAGGTTCAGGATCAGCCAACACAGGCTCAGCAAAGCATCAAGTCAGAAAGGTAAAAACCCATTGGCAATGCAAGGATTCTGCATGAGCTAGAAAGTTGACGCGATCACAGTTTAGGAAAGAAATACGGGAGCAGTCGTATTCGGGCCCAGCTAGACCGGTGAGTTGAGTCTCGAACGGCAAGCATCGATGCTGAAGAGGTGGCTATAGGACTAGTGTTGGATTTCTCCGCATTGCCGCCCAGCGAAAGACCCTGCCTAAGGCGGGGAATTTGCGGGGAGCAATCTATCCAGCACCCTTTCCATATTATTAAACCAGTCTGTTTCTATTATACCTACCAAACGCTGCTGCAACATACGGTAGCAATGTCTCTATGCCAATCGGTTCAAGCGAATGGCTCTCCGGGCCCCGCTTCATCCAGTCCCAATCCCACTTTCCCTATGCTTCCACCAGATTCAAGAAGCTCATGCCCTTTCCTGACACCTTCGAGAGTGAGCTTCAGGCGCTTGGTCAAATGACATCTGATCTTCCCAGAGTCTATCAACTCCGAGAGTTCCTCCAAGATGCGATGGTGCGAATCAACGTCCACCTTGTGATACGGCTTCGTGCCAAGCAGACACCAGACGAATGTGAGTGATTTGGACATGAACTCGGTCCCATACATTTTCGCCTGGCCTTGCACAATCGAACAAACTTTACCAAATGGAGCACAAATCTTGGCACATGTATCCATGTACTGGTCCGTGGAATGTGTGATGAAAATGTACCTGGATGAATGCTCAGCTTATGTCGCATAGAAGCTGGGGTTTATCATACTTCAACGGTAGATCAATGTTCAGATCTGCTATCTGTTTCGAAACGTCCTCGCGGTGGTTGACAACGTGCGTAGCGCCCATTTTCTTAGCAAAGCTGATCGTTTCCGGTCGCGAGGCTGTGGTGATGACCACCGGTACTTCGAGCAGTACGCGTGCAATCTGGATTGCCACAGCACCGACTCCACCAGCGCCATTAATGATCAAGATCGCTGTTCGCTCGCCTTTCTTGATTCCCAGCCTCTCAACTAGCGCTTCGTAAGCCGTGATATATGTCAAAGGCATGACGGCGGCTTCGACGAAGTCCAGGCGCTTCGGCTTGTATCCCACACTCCTTTCATCCACCAATTGATATTCTGCGTTGGAACCTTGTCTGATGGGACTTCCGGAATAGAAGACCTCATCTCCAACCTTGAAGTAGGAGCACTCAGAGCCAACTGCTTCTACGACACCTGCAGCGTCGTATCCAGTGATTTGAAACGGTCGGGGGACATTATCATAGTAGTCTGGTGGTTCGTCAGTAAGATAATCCTACCCTGTGTCACTAGCCGACATGGGCTTGCCTGGGTAGTCATCGTAAGTTCCGTTTCTCACTTTCGTATCCACTGGATTGACGGATGCTCCCTTCACACTGATCGATTGCTCTTAGTCCTTGTTCGCATCAATAGACAAAATCGCTCGTACCGAACCAACAAATCCCGGGGCTGGAGCTCGGAAGGCTTCGGGATATCCCTTGTCTGGAGATGATCAATAGGACCGTACTTCTCAACGCCGATCGCTTTCATTCTGACTGGAGTCGTCAAGTCTTTCTCGATCTGAGAAATCTTCGATAAAGGACATAGCAGTCATCGTGGATTGAACTTATAACCTCTTTGGTGAGGTTACGTCACCAGCACGTCAAGAGAGACTATATGCTCGGTCAATATAGTCAGAGACTTCGCACTTTAGGCATTTTGAATGCTAGCCTGCACATGTACTTTCAGCCCGCCTTGAGCAAGCCGGTAATAACGCGCCCTGGAGTAATGCATTGGCGCGCAAAGAAGCCATTTCTCGAAGTTGTAGTCAAATCCTTAGACAGACATCGCGGAGCCCGAGAAGAGCTGTCATCTCGCGTCCCCAAGGCATCAAACAGAAGCCTAGCTCCAAGCAGTTAGATTCCTTCCAGACATCTAGCGTCCTGCATGCCTGAGGATCGCCGTTTTCCCGTTCTCTGCATACACCAGATCAGCATGATTCCTTATCGCGAGAAACAGCGCATCCCTGCAGCAAAAGCCTTATCGATAAGCCAAGGCGGACAGTCAAGCGGTGAAACGATCTGCCCGGCATGATAAACAAACCCACTCTCAATCGGGACAGCCAGGTACCGACCGCCCCGCCACAAGTCGAGCATCGAAAAACAATCAACGCGCAAGCAGACAGGATAAGGGCTGGGATACGATCAAATATTTAAGTTACAGTACAACACGAATAACTCAGCATTGAGCCACAGATCTCAAATCAAAAACCCGCCATTGAACAGCTTTCCACTCGCAAGAGACCAACCCATCAATCGAGCACCGCCAGCCCGCCAGCCCGCCACCAAGATGTCAACAACGCCCGGCGCAAAACCCCGATCCATAACCCCGACAGTCTTCGAGCAACAACGGGCAGAACTCGTGAGAGAAATCGCTGTGGTAAGTCCGCCTCTCATCCCGGAATCTCTCGGTACGATGGACGCTTCATTGCGTTGTTGGGCCGGTCCTTCGTCAAAGCGAGAGCACACCCCAACAAAAATCACTCACACAAACAAAAAAAAAAAAAAAAAACTAAACTCATATGGCGGGAACTGGCTAGGGCATGGAGCAAGTTCTTCAGAATATGAATCGGCTCAATCGGAACTTAGAGAGCATCATCTCTGTAGGTCTCACCGCTCCCTCCCCCCCCCTCCCCCCACCCTTTCTTCAACTTTTTTTTCCTACTTCATGGAGAGATGGGGTTCTATTGGCTTCCATGCAAGGATCAATCAGATCGCTAATCTACCCTTGCGTAGGTGGGGAATGAGTTTGGCTCCGTCGAGGCCCTGTGGTCACGGTTTGAGAATTTCATGGGCCAGCCGGCTGAGGGGACTGAGGCTCCGGATCGGCGGAACGAGAGGCAGCAGCAGGAGGATGAGGAGGGTCAAAGTACGCTTCGCGATGAGGAGATGAGGGATGCTGCGGCTTGATTGCTCCGTTGGGAGGTGAACATATGCAACTGTTGTCTACGATATCTGGCTAAAATCCGGCGTTTTGGGTATGGCGTGAATCCGTTTTGGCGTGGTTGAGGGAGCTTGTCTACTCATTTTGTCGCAGGATATCCTTTTTTTTTTTTCAAAGAGATGAATGAATTACTGGATGGTTGTCCAGTGAAATTCTGGGGATGGTGTTTGGATTCAGTTACATGGGGTTTCGCTTGCGCCCAAAAGAAAAACACCCGTCCCATGCATAACGAATAAAGGCCCTATGGCCGTGCTCATAAAAGACATAAAGCATTCAAGGAATAGGAAGAAGGGGACAGGAGCGTGAGATGATTGAGACAATCGTAGTTTAAGGGGGAAAAAATCATCAAGGCCAAAGGTATAACAACGTAAGAGGCTATTGGATAAACAGAAAGCCGCCGGCAAATTTCAAGAAACAGATACTAGCCCAAGTGGACTGAGAACCAACATCAAAAAGTCAAGCGGAGGGTGCCGATCATGGCCGGGTCCATCTCGCTTTGCTATTTCGTATCACATGTGAAAAGAGTCGGTGAAGCCGTCAAGCAACCAGGCTTGTGTGTGGCATGAGCGTGAAAGGAGAAATGAAAAGCTGGGGTGGTCAGGGTGTATGACAATTTAGCAGTGGCAGTCTGGGAGTCAGTAGAGAGATAGAACGAGCCAACCATTACAGGATTTTGCAGCTGCGCTTCTTGACCTTTTTTCCGCCGCCGCCGCCGCCGCCGGCACCGACTCGGGGTTTGCTGCCAGTGCTGGACGTCTGACGTTCATTGTAGTCTTGTTCTTCGGCGGAGACCACAATATCTACTGCAAGCCCGAATACGCCGTCAACACCGCGCATCTCCTTGCTACTGCATTCCACGTACGAGGCGTTCATACGACGCGCCACTGCTTCGCCTTGTTCGGGCGTTACCGGCGTTAGACCCTGGGTTTTGAGCAGCTCGATGCATGTTCTCTTATTGCGCAGATCCGACTTCAAGCCCACTAGAATAAGCGGGGTAGTTGGACAGAAATGCAAGACCTCGGGGTACCACTATGGATGTTGGTCAGAGACTTCCACTAGTTGCAGACGGCGGGCAAGAGTCAAGCATACCTTATCCATCACATTCTCTAGCGAGGCGGGGCAGTCGATCGCAAAGCAAACAAACAGGAGATCCGTCTCTGGATACGACAATGGACGTAGACGATCATATTCTTCCTGGCCAGCAGTGTCCCAGAGAGCGAGCTCGACCGTCTTTCCGGAAGCCCGATGAGTTGTTTGTGTGATGTAGTTCTCGAACACTGTAGGAACATATTTCTGAACCGGGGGGTCAGTTGAAATCGGAGATTCAAGCCGCCACAGGGACCGCCAGGCACTTACCTCCGGGAAATAACCTTGCGAATAACTAATCAAGAGACAGGTTTTTCCGCAGCCGCCATCGCCCACCACCACAAACTTTTTGGAATATGCCGGAGGCTGCGTGATATTCGTGGCTTCGGACATCCTTCCGCTGGAAACACTGGTGTTTGTGCTGACGGTGCCGTTGCTGACTCTGACGCTCTGACTGCGCGTCCGACTTTGTCGCGGATTCATGGACTGGGGAGGAGTTGCGAGTGAATGACGACGCGAGGGTGCATAAGCTTGGTCATCATACATGGTACCTGACATGATGTCGGAATAGGAGAATTGATGGAATGTAGGTATCCAGTCTTTCCGGAAGGGGGACCAAAGTGTCGGTCAAGAAATGCTTCGAGACAATTATCACTATTCAAGATCCACCTGGTTGCCCGAATGCAAAAAGCCAAGAGGTTTGAAATATGGTAGGTAATTATGGAATTTCCTTTCTTGTGAGAATGAGGCCCCAAAGTCGACACGTCGCTGCGAGGTTGCTGCACGAAGGAGGAGATCGATTATAGTGGTAGTGGTGGAGGCGGAGGCGGAGGTGGAGGAGGAGGAGG